ATTGGATAATGATGTTTAATTTTAATATTCATAACATTTGTAATTTTTATATATATTAACATATTTATATAAACAAAATCCAACAAAATGCAATGATAGTCTTCATTTCAAATTATAAGCAGAAAATAATATAAGATAGATCTTGTTTTGAATTGACAGTTGAAAATCTATAAAGGATTGCACTGATCATTATATAGTTTCACATGAATTTTCAACATTCCACGCAAAGTTAGATCCATCCACACTACCTACTTAATGAAACAAAGTCTATCATTGCATATGTACTTTTTAAATATACATAATATTAAAAAATTATTCTATTTATAAAACTTGAATTGTTAATAATTTTTTAATAAACAACATGTAATGACTAAAAATAATTTTTTGAAGATTACTCAAGATCATGTCATCACAATATACATCAAAATCAAGACCATTGCATGTTCTTTTCTAAAGAAAAATTTTATTATAAATTTTTTATATGTATATTGTTGTTAAACACTCATTCATAGAGATACAAAAATTCATAGAAAGATAACAAAAAATAATGACATTTGCAATATTTACCATTCACCTCCTTTGCTTTCTGCGGTTTGTGCATGCAAACCGACCTGATAAGTATTTATGCTTGCGTTATTTTTTTCATCTATCGATTGTTGTATCCGTATATCCGCATTTTCTGCATTTTCATTAGTTTGCAATGTTTGGTTCGAAGTATCCAATATTACTGCTTGCTGATATGGAACTGCATTGTAATACAACCTGTAATTATATTTGAATAGATATAAAAAATTGGAAACTGTACAAACATTTACTATTAAATATAAATACACGTTAATTATTCAATTATTTTACTATAATTGAATCTTTTACTATTCATAGATCTAAGCAATTTAATCCAATGAAATATTGTTAGCATCTAAAAATACTTGTACTATTATTTAAATATTTATAATTTTTATCAATCTTGAAATATTTAGTTATTAAACAGATAATTGCAAAGTTCAATTTACGAATTTCCATAACTGTGGAGAAAAATATTTAATTTTGATATTTAACATTTATAAATTAAGCGCAAATGTTAATAATGTAACTAATGTTTTTTAGGTAAATGAATAAATAAAGCATCATGTTTTTTGATATGCATGTTGTATATTAGTTTTACATAAATTAGATATAAAAGATAATATGATATTCACAATATTTACCATTGACTTCCTTCGTTTTCCGTAGTCTGCGAATGTGAATTAACCTCATAAGTATCTGTACTTGCATTATTCTCTTTATTTACCGATTGTTGCATCTGTATATCCATGGTATTTTCTTTAATTTCCTTATCAGTTTTTGTATATTCATTTGTACTATAAAATACTAAGGTATCCGTCACAGAAATTTCATTATTTGATGTATTATCATTTTGCAACGTCTCATTGAAAGTATTCAATGTCATTGTTTGCTGATGTGGAACTGTTTCATAATACGATCTGTAATTGTATATAAATAGAATATTTATAAAACTACTGCTCAAGCTCAAATGCTATATATCAAGTACGTGCATGTATGTACATTTATTTGTTCTATTATTCTATATGTTGATTCAAAACGTTTCTATTTCTCATTTATGTGGTTATTACGATAAATATACTAATGGACAGTAAGATGATCTAAATTTGAATTGTACACAATAAAAATGCTTAAGGATATCAGTTTATTGTGCATGAACTTTTTAGATAAAACAATGACATTTGCGATATTTACCTTTGATTTTCTTCACTTTTTGCGATTTGCGTACTGACTTGATAAGAATTTGTGTTTGTGTTATTCTCTTCATCTATCGATTGTTGTATCTGTACACCTATAATATTTTCTCCAGCTTCTTCATTAGTTCCTAAACATTTATTTATATTATGAGTTGCTAAAGCATTCGTGAAAGAAACATCATTACTTGGTGTATTATCAGTTTGTAATATTTGGTTCGAAATATTCAACGTCATTATTTGTTGATATGGAATTACATTGTAATACGACCTGTAATTATATATACAAATAATTATAGAAAATTGTAAGCTGTTGTTAGAGTAATTAATATTAGATATAAAGACGCATATAAATTATATGAATTGTTGATCATTTAATTGAAATTGAAGTTCTTAATATATAAATCTGAAAAGCTGAATGTCTGTCTAAATATTGTTATCATTTGAGAATGTTTGCACTATTATTTAAACACTATAATTTTCATCAATATCAAAATATTTACATAAAAAAAGGATAATATTTATAAAATAATATATATAAAATATATTAATTTGTTGTACGAGCTTCTTAGAAAATAAAATAATAACATTTGCAATATTTACCCTTGATTATTTTCACTTTCCATAGTCTGTAAATGCGTACCCATTTGATAAGTATTATTTATATTTATATTTGGGTTATTCTCTTCGTCTATCGATTGTTGCACTTGTGTGATATTTTCTCCAGTTTCTTCATTAGTTTTTAAATACACATTTATATGATGAGGTACTAAAGTATCTGTGACCGAAATATCATTATTTAATGTATCAGTTTGGAACGTCTTGTTTGAAGTATCCACTGTTATTGTTTGTTGATGTGGAACTGCATTGTAATATGACCTATAATTATATACAAATAATATAAAAAATTACAAATGATATTAGAATAATTATTATTATATATAGACATGTATCAGTTATGAATTAGTCAATTATATAACTGACATTGAAGCTTAGATATATATATATATATATATATATATATATATATATATATATATATAAATTTGAAAACTTTAATCTCCATCCAATTTTTATTATCTGAGAACGTTTGCTACCATTCAAATATTACAATTTTTATTAATATCGAAATATTTAGCATTAAATTAATGCCAGTGAATTTGAATTAACATTTGACGATTAAATGAAATTAGTTAATTTAAATATGTATAACGTTTATAAATAAAGCATGTATTAAGAATATATTTAAAAATTTTACATAAATATATAATAATAAACGAATGTTGGATATTATATTTTTGATATGTGCGTTGTATATTAGTTTTGTGTACACCAATTCCTTAAAAGATAAAATAATAATTGAAATACTTACTCTTGATTTTTTTCATTTTCTACAGCCTCTGAATGTGTACCAACCTGATAAAAAATTGTACATGTATTATTCTCTTCATCTATCGATTGTTGTGCAAGTATATTCACAGTAGATTCTTGAACTCCTTCATTAGTACCTAAATATTCATGTTTATCATGAAATGTTGAAACATCTGAGGCAAAATTGTTTGATACATTCTCAGTTTGCAAATCTGTCTGTTTTGAAATATTCACGATTTCCGCATTTTGAGTTTCTTCGTAAGAAAATCTAAAATTGCGTATAAATAAAAAGTAAAATATTAGAGAAATTAGTATTAATAATAACTATAAATCATAATAATACTAACTAAATCAATAATACTAACAAGAACCAATACTACATGGATATATGTATGTTACAATTAAACGTAATTGATAATTTTCCCTATTCATTTTTGACTATGTTTTTTATATTATTTTATCATTATAAATACTCGATTTATAGATCATCGATATTGATGCTTTTCTAATTGTACTTTTATACATTGTATTCTTTATTATACATATCAATACGCTAATATCTTTGTGATTTTTGACTGAAGAGGATTCAAATAAGGATTTAAACATTTATATTATTGCTGTTTAAGTACACACGCACACACACACATGTTTAACTTTCTAAAATACACATTAAATTCTACAAAATACATATATAGATTCTTTAATATTCTATTTTCCATAAATAGAAATAAATAGTTATGATAAACAGAAATGAAAAGTAAAATTTTAATATATACCCAATGAGCAGAATATCTAAAATCGATGCATAAGACAACTTTAAGATATCTTGAAGAAACATCTTTAAGATATCTCATAAAGAATTCTGAAAGATATCTTGAAGTTAATAGTATATAAAATATATATCTTAAGTATATAAATATCTTGTTCATAAATCACTTTAAAAGAAAAAGCAATAATATTCAAAACATTTACCGTGGTTGTGTTTCTTCATTTTCTATTGCATTATCCTTTTCATTGTTTTTATTTGTTAACTGTTGTGTCATTACATTTGCATCAATTTCTTCATTTTCTTCATTTCCTTCATTAGGTTCCATATTTTCATTTATAGCATGAAATATTTGCAAATGTTTCGCTAAGCCATTTATTCCATGAAATAGTGTCAATTTTGGCTTACAAAATTGCAATTTATGCTTGCAATTTATGCAACAAATGCATTTTACATTATGTGCATTGAATTTGAAATATTGTGATAGCCAGGTACATTTAATTGTTTTTTGTATTTTCTTTATTGTCTCGTTATGAAATCGGATCAAATGACGTTCTAAATTTGTCATATTATATGCATGTTTTAACAATTTATCACAAAGTCTGCATTTTGCATTATATCCTTTTTCTTTAGAGTAATATCGCCAAACTACATAAGTATGTGTTTCAAATTTTTCCCAGTCGTCGCCAGTAAATATTTCATGAACACGATATAAATGTTCTTTCATACTTATAGTTATTTCTTTACTTTTATATACTTTATTACAACATTTGCATTTTGTGACATTTTTATCGAGTACATAATATTTCCATGCCCAATGACGCTTTTTTGATAACACTGTATTCACTTCGCTACCATTTTCACTTCTTTCGTCATTTTTTGAATTCTCACTTATATTGTGATATATTTGCAAGTGATTTGCTAACTCATCTATACCAATAAATATTGACATTTTGCGTTTACAATGAACGCATTTTGTCATACAATCTTTTCCATTAAATTTGAAATATTGTGATAACCAAGCATCTGTAATTGTTTTTTGTATCTTTGTTACTTCTTCTGAATGTTTTGAGAATAAATGGTTTTCTAAGTGTGCCACAATATATGCATGTGCTATCAATTCTCCACAACTTTTGCATTTTGCATTGTAATTACTTTTTCTTGAATAATATTGCCATATCAAGTTAAACTTATTTTTACATCGTATCCAGAATTTTTCGTCATAAATAAATATGCCATGTTCACGTAAATGTAGTTTCATATGTGATGTTATTTCTTTTTGTTTATAAATTTTATTACAATATTTACATTTCATCTCATTATCATTTTCTTTAGAATAATGTTCAAACCAAAAATCTATCTGATCCTCCGTTTCCATTATGTTTGCACAGTATCACCAAACGTGTGTCATGTAATATGTCAAACCAACTGCAATAAAAAAATATTAAAAAAAAATTATTTAGAAAAGATAAAATGTGTGGATTTTTGCTAAAATATAATTATTGATATTGTTTTAATCTAACAAAAAATTTGTCAAAATATCACTTTATTTTTAATTATTTAACTGTTATAAAAGTATGTACTAAAAGTATATCTTAAGGTATATGCTTCACCCCTCTAAGCCGAGCAAAATTATCTTCTAATTAATAAAGAGCAGTTAATCTTCAATGACAAATGACAAAAGTAATAAGAATTTATTAATTTACTTTTATCTGATTGAATTACTAATTGATTTGATAAACTAATTGATCAAACAATTACGTTTTTCTTACGTTTTGTTTTGGGAATACTAATAATAATAATAAGAGTGCCTCAAATCCATTAATGATATACATGATTTTCACAGCAACTAAGGATAAGCTCGACTGCATCGATGCGTGCTTCATTTCTACAAAAAATTTATAAAATCATGATAATTAAAGTAAAGCTCATTATTCCTATTGTTAATTTTTTATATTATTCATTGTTATTATAATTGTTAAATCGGAGAAAAGCCTGAGAGAGGCCATCCTGACCTTTTTCGTGGGACCGTCAAAACCCCCTGTACACTACCGCCAGTACGTCCATTTTCGATATTGGTACTACGTGACCACGTCCGTGGTTCCAACACTGCCGATAAAATTGTATTTTAGTCCATGTCCGTACTACTCCACAAACTCTCGATATAGAAAAGAATTATAAATAATAATTTTTAATATTTTTCTTATAATTTTTATTTTTTTCATGATAATTTTTAATAATTTCACGGACGAAAATACGATTTTATCAGCAGTATCGGAAAATGGATGTGGCTACGTAGTACCAACAGCGAAAAAGGACGTACTGGCGGTAGTGTACAGAGGATTTTAACGGTCCCATGAAAAAAGCCGGGATAGTCTCTCTCAGGCTTCTCTCTGGTTAAATTTATAAGGAGGCAATAAGCTATAAGAGTAAAGTATATTAAACAAATTAATTACTGCTCTTATTTATCAGTCAAAATGTTTCTGGAATTAATCGAAAGACCGGTATTTTCAATAATTACCGGTAGATATTACGGATAATTATTTATTATATTATTACACATTTATATAATTGTTTATTTCATATTTCATATGTATTTCCATCATTTCATATTTCGTACGCATTTCACGCACGCATCGCATGTTGCTACAGAGCATGCACACAGGTACGACGTATGTGCACATGACGCGCATGCGTACAGGTTTGGCGCGTGCGCATACATATGCGCATACGCATAGGTACGACGCATGCGCACACGTACGCGCATGCGCACAGGTACGACGCATGCGCATACATGCGCACATGACGCGCATGCGTACAGATACGACGCGCATGCGCACAGGTTTGGCGCATGCGCATACATACGCACATGCGCACACATGGCGCATGCGCTAAATTTAGTCGACATGACAGGTTTCCTAACCCTGAATAATGCAAACTTTAATGATAAATATTTTGGTTCGCGGAGCAGAGCGATGTCGTTTTTGCCAGATTCTTTCGTTTCATGCAAAAACACGTCGAATGAGCTTAATCTTATCAAAATTGGAAGTGAGGCCCCTAAATTTAACATTTACCGAAAACTTATATATGAAAATATTTTTCATAAATTTTATGTAATGTTTGATACAAATTTTGCTGAAAAGAAAAAAAACATTACCTGTGATAAAAATTATTTGCAGAAAAACATGTAATCACATATCACAAGCATGAACAGACCGGGTGTTCTCGAGCAGCATATATTGATTGGCAAACTGTCAACCAATGGTTGATCAACATTGGCCAATGTCTAACCAATAGACATGGATCTACCAATCACTTGTTCTGTTTGGTATGATGCTAATAATTAAATCCGTACAGAGAGAAGCCTGAGAGTGGTCATGGCCGCGTTTTAGCTGTAACCTTATTCGCGTAGGTATATGCACAATTTTGTGGTTCTCTTCCGTGCTAGATGCAAGAGTGATAAAGATGGACGATGTAGACACGACTGTCCGTCTTTATTACTCTTGTGTCTAGCATGGAAGAGAACCACAAAATCGTGCACATTACCTACGCGAGTAAGATTACAGCTGAAACGCGGCCATGATCACTCTCGGGCTTCTCTCTGATCCGTATGATACAAATTATATAATCTCAACATGACAAATATAACAATTGCTATGTAACACGTGATATTGCAATTATATTACTATTCTTCTATTGTAATATTGACAACAATATAATAATTACAGAATTCGTTCATATCGCATGTTTTTCCTTTGTTACCGCACAGGTACAGCGCATGCGTACAGCTACGGCGCATGCGTACACGTACGCGCATGCGCACAGGTCATCGGTTAATAGGATTGCCAACTCTCCGGTTTTGAACCGAACTATGCTATGCACGAGTTCGCATTTGCTAGCGCTATTTTGGCTCCGACCGGAATTGATAGCGTTATCGTTTATAGCACTAGTTGTTGACGACAGCGCGGGCACGGAAATCCAATTTTTACATTTGTTTTTAATTTATTTCGCATCATTGCGACGTTTTCTCATATAGACTAATCGTAGATATACTTCAAAAATGGGAAAACGCCAACATCAGAAGGATAAGATGTAAGTCGCGCTCTATATTTTTTACATAACCTTTATTAGACGTTCCGGCTGTAAAAGTGGTTCATTGTTATCTTCGAATCATCTGATAAGCTTGGAAATTTCTTCAGGTATTTAACGTATACGGAATGGTCGACGTTATATGGTGGAAGGAAATCAGGAACGAATCTAGAAACAAGCGAGGAGAAGACATTCAGACGATTGCCATATGATCATTGCTGTTTGTCTCTACAGCCCTTTGAACATCCTTACTGCGATTTAAATGGCAATGTGTTCGAGTTAGAAGCTATTTTGCCATATCTGAAACAGTACAAGCATAATCCTGTAACAGGAAAACCATTAGACGCCAAGAGCCTAGTTAAACTGAATTTTTATAAGAATGCACAAGACGAATATCAATGTCCTGTTCTTTTTAAATTGTTTACAAAACATTCGCACATTGTTGCCATTAAAACCACAGGAAATGTATTCTCTTATGAGGCAAGCATATAAAATATTTTTTCATAAATTTTATATTTTAAAGATTAGCAACTATATTAATTTTTTATTTGTGTAAAATATATTGAAATAATCTTTTTAGGCTGTTGAACAATTGAATATAAAAACTGCAAATTGGAAAGATTTGATAAATGACCAGCCATTCACACGCAAAGATATTATCACAATTCAAGATCCAAATAATGCAATGAAATTCAATCTGTCTACATTCCATCATATAAAAAATAACATACGAGTGGAAGATGAAGGTAGATTTTTTGTTTCAAAAAAAATTGTTTTTACAAAATTGTTTTTGTTAATATTTTTTTTGTATATTTTTGAATGTGTATATATATATATGCAATTGAAATTTTTCAGAAACTGTGAGAGAAAGGAACAATCCAAATGCAAAATTAAAAACTGTATCAGCAGAAACAAAAGAGATCTTGGCAGAATTAGAGAGAGACTATAAGCCGATGAAAAATGAAAAGGATGAGACATCTACACAGAAAGCTGATAAATTCAATGCCGTTTGTATATTATTTGCAAAATGTTTTCTGTCTTGATTGAAAAAATAACTTTTTTGTAATTTATATACAGGCACATTACTCTACTGGCGCAGTTGCTGCAGGATTTACTTCAACGATAATGCCAGCGGAGACTATACATCAGTCGGCTGTAATCGCGGAAGATTTGGTGCGATACGAGAGAGTCAAGAAAAAGGGTACATTACGCTAGTCGTTATTTAAATTCACTATTAAATAATTTTTACTTATTTTCATCTGTCTTTTCGTTTAGGGTATGTGAGATTAGTCACGAATTTTGGAGCTTTGAATCTGGAACTTTACTGCGACTTAGTTCCAAAAACCTGCGAGAATTTCATGAAACACTGCCAGAATGATTATTACAATGGCACAAAATTCCACAGGTCGATACGAAATTTTATGGTAAGTATATTAAATACAATGACAAGTGCGTTGAATTTGAATGCATTTAAAAAATTAAAAATTTTGAATGTTGCTTTTAATTTTTTTTCTTGTTTTGTATTATATAACTGTGATATTTGATTATGATACAGTTTTCCCATAGATACAGGGCGGTGATCCGACCAATACGGGTAACGGTGGCAAGTCCATTTGGGATAAACCGTTCGAAGATGAGTTCAAGCCGAATTTGATCCATCAAGGCAGAGGCATCCTGTCCATGGCAAACTCGGGTCCGAACACCAACGGATCCCAATTGTATAATTAAAAAAATTAATTTGCATCTCACTGTGATTAATATCACCATTAATGTCATCATTGTTTTAGTTTTATCACATTCCGATCGTGCAGACACCTCGATCGCAAGCATACCGTCTTTGGCAAGATTGTTGGAGGCCTGGATACGTTGAACGCGATGGAGAGGGTAGAGGTGGACAATAAAGATCGACCAATAGAGGATATAATTATACAGGGTGTCGAGATCTTCGTGGATCCTTTCCAAGAAGCTGATAATCAACTCGCTGCAGAACGAGTCGCCGAAACGGAACGACTGACTCGAGAAGCGAGTCAGAACAAACCGAATAAAACGGACAAGAACGACACTCAAAAAGTTTATCGATCGGGCATAGGAAAATATGTGAAGCTGGAACAGGAGAAGTAAGATCTCTAGCTTTTTTTGTGAATCGAGATTTATTAATCCCATCTATTAATTTGATTTTCAGATTGGATAAATGGGACGGGAATGCGGAGCCCGTCACGAAAAAGAAGAAGATTCTGTCACAATCCTATGGAGACTTTTCCTCTTTCACTTTCTAATGGATTATTTTCATTAAAATAAGTTTATGATATGTGTATGTGTATATATATATATGGGGGAGAGAGAGAGAAAGAGAGAATGTTAAATGTATATAGCGCTGTATATAATGTATTATTTGTTTTACAATATATATAATTTATCTGACAGTTTGCTGAAGTCTCTGGCATGCCCGAATTCCTCTTAAAGTGTCAAAAAACGAGAATCAAACACATACATAATCACTGATAGCATAAGCGGTAATAAACATTAATTACTATTTATTACAAATCAAGGCTCGATAATGCGAGTTTCAATTATTAAAAATACCATTTCTTAAAACAAATTATCAACGTGAATAAAAAATATTGAAGACACTCGCGTGTTTTCATTGCAAAATTACGAATGTTAAATTTCATTTTAAATTCGTATTGTGTTATGAATTTGAAATATTTCATCATAGTTGGATTATTGAATCCAAGTTTTTTGCGAATTCAATTCATATGACTACGTTAGTGGGCGAAAAATCTACTCGGAAAAGGGGGGGGGCTCCGCGACATATAGAGCGGCTCCTGGCCCGATCGAGGACCGGACCGGAGGCTCCATGCGCCTCCATGTTTGACGTTCGTCGCACGAGCGTGCGAGTCGGAGGGCTCGGAAGTCAGCGAAGTTGTCCAGCGCGCGCGCGCGCGCAAGTGACAAGAATCGTCGCGTAACTCTCGGTGATCGGCACAGGAGGTGGCCACGGATATCTCGGAGATTCGTGGGAACGGAGATCCCGTTGTCCTGGTCGGCGCCATGGACGACCTGGGTGAGTAAAACTCACGATAATCCTTGGCCAGACGTCAAGTTAACCTCTATAGTATCGCCGCCCGCCTCACCTGTCACAAGGATGGCTATCGAGATTGTCGGGCGCGTGGACACCCGTGTCGCGTGATACGCCGGTGGAATCGTTCGATCGACGCTCGAGATCGCGTCTTCCTGCGCACTTGTCAAGGGTGATCCGCTCTCTGGAATTTAAGTTGCGCTTCTTTTTTTTTTTTCTTTTACCGAAGGCATATCGGCATCTCGAGACGCGTTCGCTCGCCTCGATTGTGCATATCGGTATTTATTAGCATTCAGAAGCGCACTCGACACCGTTACGTTGTTATCGAGAAATTGTAAA